TGGGAATTTTTACACTCAAATTTGGGGAAAAGGTGCCTTTTTCACGTTGGGAACGGGGCCGAATATCGGCCCCAATTAAAGAGAATCGAGAGCCCTGCAGTATGAGCCAGATTGGACCAAGGAGAGAGGAGATATGCTCCGGACAAGAGATCTCGGACGGACAGACTGATCACTATAGGGCGCCCGCACAGTGGGGCCCTAATTTTTGTAAACATGGAAGCCAGTGCAAGATGTGTCAAAATAAAAGTAAAAGTTATAAGAAAACATTTATTGACTATGTTCTCGGGCAAAATGCGTTTTGTCGAACAAGCTATTTGCCTTCGGTGTAACAGTCTCAGGGGGAACAGTTTGGTTCTTGAGTCCAACAAAATGCATGTTGCCCTCGAACCAAGTCAATAAATGCATGATGTTGAGTCTCTTATGTTGTGTCTCTGAAAACAAATGTTTTATTTGTATTCTATAATTTTTCATTTGTTTTCTGTAATTTACTATTCGTACTGTATTGATTTTTCATTTGTATTGTATAAATTTTCATTTGTTTTAAATGAAATATAAAGATAACGAACAATTTTCAAGCTCAAATACAAATGACCTCTAAAAGCAGCAGAGAAGGGATCAAATGAGGTGGAGGAGTAGCCATCCCCTATCGACTGGTCACACCCGCTGTATGCTCCTTGTCATGATCGCATGATCGGGCAAATGGAAAAAATCCGTTTACAATTCAGTGTGAATATAATAGCATAACAATATGCATGAAAAACGTCAATTTGACTTAACGATAGGTTGTATTTGCTGACAAGATCAGTGTATCGATCATAAAATTTGAGAAATGTTTAAGTGGGATTGGTGATATCCCTGTATCATCAATTTATACGTCAATAGCTTGTCTCGCATTAGACATTGTTCTTACGTAGAGTGTGCTCTTCTAATCGAATCAACTGGGAGACATAAACTCCATATGCAGGTGATAATAGTATACTGCGACATAAATAAGGGAAGTTGACGATAGAAAAGTTGAAGTCATCACGGTCATCATAAAGTTTTGTTTGTTTTCTAGTAAAATATCCAAATATAAAACAGATGCGTCAGACTCTGTGGCAGGCATGGGGCGAATTATATTGTGAAGTTATGTAATACGTTACCATTACTTCAACAATTTGGGCATTAAATTACAATTACCGTAATTTCTTTACCATTACTTTAATTTCTTAAAGTAATTCATTACATTACCGTTACTTTAGCATGTAATGCACTGCCATTACCATTACTTTTGGAGTTTTTTTCAAAAACAAAAATACAAAACTTTGCAACTGTTTTCATAAACATACATCCAGCCCCTTCAAAACTAAACATGATGAATGATAATTCAACTTTAATTTCAAGTACTGGTATTTATTACACTGCAAATAATTTACATTTCTTTTTATTATTCATAGGAATTAAGTTCGAACTTTTCAATTGCCAATAAGATAAAAACATGTTCAATATGCACTTTTTGTTTAACTACTGATGTCATAAAACAATATAACTTTTAGGGCAATTTACTCCCTCCCAAAAACTAAAACTAAACTAAGCAAGACATATAAAGATTATTTGGATCTAGTACCTTAAATTATGACAAAAATTAAATACACTGACAAACCTGTAAAAAGGGTTGGACAGTACGTAGATTTTGCTCTTCTAAAAGTAGAATGGCTGTCTTCTGTTTCTTTTCGTGCGATGGATTTTTCATGGTCAGCTCATGCTTGACCAGCTCAATTAATGTTTCATAAACACAGTCAGAAGAAAGGGGATAATTTTTGGAGTACTTCTCAAAGCAATACTTTTTTTTTAATTGTTACATAACCTTAGAGGCATTGTGTGTTTTGAAGACACCCTATTCAAAAGTTGGCAATTATCAGTTTACAGTGTACATTAATTAGCGTGCCTTAAAATATATCCGAATTTTTTTTAAGGATATTTTTTTAATAAACTCTTTAAAATATTCTTTGAAATAAAATCTGATCTGAAATGAAAGAAAAAGTGAGCAAGCTCACATACCCCACGCTCCCCCAAAACTCGACAATGCAACACGTAATAAATGGCACAGTGCATTTTAAATACATGTGTATAATTCAAAAGGGGGCATTAACTGCAAAAAAACATTACATCAAAACTTCTTGCATATATCTTCGTATGTTACAAATTTAATTGGGCTGAAGTTTCTAGATAAATAATGGAATCAAAATTTCTTTGTAATATACAAATCTATACATTATGTCTGAAATACCTACAAAGTTTCAGGAAATTCATTGCAGGAGTTATGCTGACAAACTGTTATTTAAATTCCTCATTGATTTCGATTTGTTAATGAGTGTAAGTCCATGTCCAATTTACACATTTAAATAATTGATGGAAACAAAATGATGATGTAGTCATATACTGTACTTATGAAATTATTTACGGCAAAGCACCAATTTGAGGGGGGGGGGGGACTATCCAAGATTTTGTGTGTGTGTGTTAAATCATTAATATTTTGATCTCAAAATCAACAGGGGTCTTTTAAGGTAATAAAATATTTCACATAAAATTTCATTACAAAACCTGATTCCAGTGGATTTCCTTATTACCTAGCTGGAAAGTTTCTTCAATAATAGGCAAAACTCTTAAGGCAAAAATAATGCAATCGGAATTTCCTGGTAATATGCACATCTACACACTGTGTACTAAATATCTGCAAAGTTTGACGAAATTCTGTGCAGCTGTTTAAGAGGAGTTGCACTAACAAACTGTTCGTCTCTATATTAAAGATATGGCAAAAAATCTAAGTTGAAAAGTGCCGGTATTCCCAGAAAAATAAAGGAATCGGAATTTCCTGGTAATATGCGCATCTACACACTATGTACTAAATATCTGCAAAGTTTTACCAAATTCTGTGTAGCGGTTTAAGAGGAGTTGCGCTGACAAAAAAAAACAGGACTGACGGACTGACACACTGACTGACGGACGGGTCAAAAACATTACACCTCACGCAACTTGTTGCGTGGGGTATTTAAATGTGCAGTACTTTCAACAGAATAAAAATGTTTTTAAATAGATACAGGTTTATTTAAATAGCTTCACTTTTTCATTCATTTCTTTCATTAAAAAAAAAAAGTCTAAACAATAATTTCCATGTCCATTTTCAAATTTAAAATTGGTATATACAATATACTGTATGTGTACTTAAAAAAGCGGGCTTCATATTTTAGCGGCTTTGGCGCAGACAACGATGCGCTAATTTATGAATACCGCTAAGAAATTATTTATAAATACAATATACGGCACGGACATGTAAAGCTCCCATTCATGATCTCGCCAACACCTCCATACCTAGTGATTTCGCTAAATTTTGAATACGCCAATTTATGTACACGTACAGTATATGCTTTGTAATGCCAGCATTACTCTGGATTTGAGACATTACCATTACATGTACAAGCATTACTTTGAGTTTAAGTACTGCTGATTATGTCGGACACACTCATTCATGGCAATGCAGATAACATTAACATGTCGGATTAAGCATTTAAGATAATTCAGTTTGTGAAATACTAAGTCGATAACTAACCATTGTTAATTATCAAAAATACCTGTAAACATCATGTCAAGCAAGACAATTACAGTGCAATCTGAAAAAAGGAATGTAATAATAGAGAAAAACCATTATCTTCTAGTCAGGGGGCAAACATAATACTAAGTTTGATCTTTATCAAACCTCAATATCAGGTCATCTTTATAAAATTGTTTGGTTGCCCTATCCCGACCGACAGGCTAAAATGGCCCGACTCAAAAACCTTTTTAACCTCCAGGAAGCAATTATTTTTTTATGCATTCCGGAAAATAGATTTTGAAAATTCAGCATTGATTTTTAAATTTTCTTTGAAAAAAAAAATTCTAACCTACCTACCGACTCAATTTTTTCATTCTGATTCGGGAGAGGGCAAGCAAACATTATTTTAAAGTTGGCCTCATTAGAGGTATTATATTTCTTAGAAGTACCGGTATATCAAAATTGATGTCTATGAGTGTGAAGCAAATGGTAGTCAAACAACTGAGCTGAGAATATTTTCCTTTGTCTAGTGTCTATGTTCTGTGTATACAGTAAATAATCATCAGTATTGCGCAGACTAACTTTAGTGTAGATAACAATTAAAATAAATCTCAATCTTGGAAGATGCAGTATCTCGACATTAGTTATGTACAATCGCATTGCTCCAAAAACCTTTTAATACAGTGAACATGCAATATGCATCTTTCAAAATCAGTATTGGCGTGCTCTGCTTTGTCATGAACGAGCAATAGAGCGTTAAGGCGAGAAAACAGCTGTTTACAATAAGCCTAAGCTGTTGAGATCCTACAGTATTCATTTTTCTTACAAGTCAAACATTTTTACTGTTATGATTGGCTAACTCTCCATGATAGAGGTTTCTTCTAATCCATGAAAAAATGTCAAGTGTGCTTAAATTTTTTCCAGTGATTAATCAAAATTATTTATTAAATACTTTCCAAGTTTACGCTCGGGCCTTGATATCGATAAGACTTAGTGTACTAGTAAATGTAAATGTTGACACCGATTTTACTATAATGCAGTATCTACTTTTTTTTAAAAACAGATTTAACAAATACTTTTTTACTTATGCAGGTAAAAGATTATCAAACAAGGGCATTGAACAATATAGTATAATTATATAATTTTATATATATATACACACACACACACATATATATATATATATATATCTCCATCTAAAGCCTTTCTATTGTAAATAAACTAAAACTCAAACAAAGAGACAAAGACTACTAAATAAACAAAGCACGATTGAACAGTAATAACGACCGACAGATAAGTTATTTGACCAATTCTAAAATCCTGGAGAAGAGACAATTAAACGTCACACACTCTCTCCACACTCAGGATATACATATAGCTAAAGGGGAACGTGCAGCAGAAAAAGCGTCAATGTGCGCCAATATATGACGATTTGTAAGGGGTGAATGTACAGCATTGTATTCATTAATTAGCAGGTGAAGCTCAGGGATGTAATTTTTGTAAACAACCACTGCACAACAAAACGTATAAAGACGTTTAATACTGCATTGTCACAATATGTCCACGGTCGAAGAAGTTTTACGAAAGATGCATTCGGATTTTGCCAAAGAGAATCCGATGGAATCATCAAAGGTAGGCCTTAAATGTAAATCTTCAAAGCTAGGGTAAACTATCAATCGTCAAGGCCAGGGTTTATTATAAAATGTCACATTCAGGAAATATTGTTTAAGCCAGGGTAAGACAAGCAAGTTTTTTATATGCAACAAAGGCCAAGCTACGTATACATATACATAGGTACATGGTTTAAATCGTCATTTCACATTTATTCAGCACAATAATTTAACAGCAAAATCGGGAATATTTTTTTCAAATCAAATTCTATCGTTTTTATTCTTCTTTTTGTGGATGGCTAAATTGTACAACTGTAATTATAAAAATGTTTTATCTGTTAATATATAAAAACAATATTAATTTCTGAATCATCGCTTAGAGTTTTCCCCCCGAAGATCTACAATTTTACTTTTTTCACATCGTTAATTTCAATTATACGATCTTAAGTTAAATTTTGGAAATAAAATACAAATACAAAATGTACCATAAATTAGAAACAAGTATAATGATGAAATAAAAAGCTCCTAGGGTCACAACGTTCACCTATATCCATGGCCCTTCTGTTCATGAGAAGTTCCCTTTAAAAACTTTAATCTCCAACTGTGGCCATACCCTTACAGTCCCAACGGCAATTACTCCACACATTTGAATCTATAAAGTTGTACTTCACTATATCTTCTTGTCGCCCTTTAGTTCTTCGGATTTTAAAATAATTTCTCTTATGTAAACTCTGACCCCCACCCACCCCATTAGGCAATGACTTGACAAAACTTAAATTTACACTACATAGGGGCATATTAATATGACTATCGGGGGGGGGGGGGGCTGCATTTTTATATCAGAATTATAAACTTTTAAATTCTCACCTATAGCTTGGGTCCTTTTTGTGACCCAAGTCTGATTCCAAAGGTCATGATTTGAACAAACATGATATTTCGATGGTTAGCTATAGATTTACATATTAATACATGATGAGGTCATGTTTTTAAGAATGAATTGTTTTAAAGAATTTTCCTATAAATTGGCATGTAAAACTGACCCCTTTCAGTAACGATACCTTAGCTCCGCATTGCACGATTCAAAGAAACCGTCACTGTAGCTCAGTCGGTAGAGCGCAAACTCCGTAATCGGAGGGTCGTGGGTGCAAATTCCTAAGTTGATAAAATAATAGGTTGTGACTGTTACTTCACCAAGCACTCGGCACTTTGAGATGAAAGTTACGGGTCTTTTGGATGAGACCATAAAAACGGAAGTCCCTGTCGTGACAGGCGATGGCACGATAAAGGTCCTTTTGGTTAACGGAATGAAATATATGGAGATAACGAACAGTATTCAAGCTCAAAAGTCCATTAATCAATACAAAATAGGAGCAGAGCAAACACGGACCTCCAAACATCAGAGGTGGGATCAGGTGCCATGGAGGAGTGAGCATCCCCTGCCGACCGGTCACGCCCGCCGTGTGCTCCTTGTCATGGTAGGGAAATAACGGAAAAATCCGTCGACAATTCAGTGTGTAAATAATGGTCTAACAATTAGTATGAAAAACGTCAGTCAGCATTTGACTCAACGATAAATTGTAATTGCTGACAAGGTCATTGTATCGACCGTAGAACTTACGAAACGATGACTTTAGACGAGACTGCTGATATTCTTGTTTCATCAACTTATTTGTCAATAATTTACCTCGTTTTAGAAATTGTACATACGTAGAGCATGCTCTTGCGTATCGAATCAACTGAGAGATATACCCCGCTATACCCCGTATGCAGGTGATGAGGGTATATTGCTGCATAAGTAAGGGAAGTTGACGATTGAAAAGTTAAAGTCATCACGTTTATCATAAAGCTTGGTTGTTAGATTACCATTAACGTCTTTTTCAAGTAAAATATCCAAATATGAAACAGATGTGTCAGACTCTGTGGTATCTTTTATCTCAAGTTCACAAGGATATATCGTATCGACATAAGAATGGAAATCACCGTTGTTTATTGACAATACGTCGTCGATATATCTAAATGTCGAGTTGAAGGCCACAGCAAGTGTTTTCTTCTTTTCACGTACAAGATTTTGGACAAATTCTGCTTCATATGAATACAAAAAAAGGTCTGCTAATAACGGGGCGCAATTGGTACCCATGGGAATTCCAATAGATTGTTGGAAGACCTGGTCTCCAAAAACCACATAGATATTGTCAATCAGAAACTCAAGCATCTTTTTAATGTCAATTTCATAGTACTTGTGTGAACAATCAGAATGTTTTTTAACAAAATAATTTTGCAAATGACCAATGACAAGGTAAGTATATTTACGAGTTCCATTTTTAGGTCACCTGAGTCACTCAGGTGACCTATTGCTATCTGTTTTCGTCCGTCGTCGTGCTTCGTGTGTTAACATTTGAACATTTTCAGCTTCTTCTCTGAAACCGCTGAACCAATTTCAGCCAATTTTTGCATATGGCATCTATGTGTGAAGGGAAACAAAATTTGTGAATTTCATGGTCCCTGCGCCCCTGGGGCCTGAGGAGTGGGGCTAAAACCATCAAAATTAATGCAATCTTTAAAAATCTTCTTTACTCCTGGACACCAAGCAGTCAAACTGATGACATGATTGTAATAAGCATTGAGCCCTCTACCAAAATTGTGAAATTCATGGCCCCAGGGTCAGGGGTTCTGGTGTTAGGGCGGGGCTATATAGATCATATAGTGAAAGTGCATTATTTCTTTGAAAATCTTCTCTACTCCTGGGTATTATTGAAACAAATTGAATACATAGTTATGATAAGCAAGGGTGACTCTACCAAAATTGTGAAATTCATGGCCCCAGGGTCAGGGGTTCTGGTGTTAGGACGGGGCTATATAGATCATATAGTGAAAGTGCATTATTTCTTTGAAAATCTTCTCTACTCCTGGGTATTATTGAAACAAATTGAATACATAGTTATGATAAGCAAGGGTGACTCTACCAAAATTGTGAAATTCATGGCCCCAGGGTCAGGGGTTCTGGTGCTGGGGGGGGGGGGGGGGTATATAGATCATATAGTGACAGTGCATTATTTCTTTAAAAATCTTCTTCTCTACTCCTTGGTATTATTGAAACAAATTAAATACATAGTTATGATAAGCAAGGGTGACTCTACCAAAATTGTGAAATTCATAGCCCCAGGGTAAGGGATTCTGGTGCGGGGGGGGGGGGGGGGGGCTATATAGATTATATAGTGAAAGTGCATTATTTCTTTGAAATTTTTTTTTCTCTACTCCTGGGTATTATTTAAACAAATTAAATACATAGTTATGATAAGCAAGAGCGACTCTACCAAAATTGTGAATTTCATGGCCCCTGGGTCAGGGGTTCTAATGTTATGGCGGGGCTCTATTTATTGTATAGTGAAAATGCATTAATGCTTTAAAAATCATCTCTGCTTCTGGGTATTATTTAAATAAACTAAGTACATTGTTATGATAAGCAAGGACACCTCTTCCAAAATTGTGAAATTCATGGCCCCAGGGACAGGGGTTCTGGTGCTAGTGTGGGGCTATATAGCTCCTACAGTGAAGGTGAATTATTTCTTTGAAAATCTTCTTTTCTGCCCCTGGGTACTATTTAAACAAACTAAGTACATTTTTATGATACGGTAGGATGCCTCTTCTAAAATTGTGAATTTCATGGCCCCAGGGTCAAGGGTTCTGGTCAAAAGGTGGGGGGGGGTGCTCTATTGATTATATAGTGAAAAATCAAAATTTCTTTGAAAATATTCTTTTCTGCTTCTGGTTAAAAAGCAAAGAAGCTAAGTATATAGTTATGATGAGCAAGAGTGCTTCTTCCAGAGTAGTGAATTGCATGACCCCTGGGTCAGATGTGCTGGTATAAGGGTGGGGCTGTTGATAATGTAGTGAAAATGCATTAATTCTATTAAATAATCCTGTCTACTCCTTAATGTTAAGCAGTTAAACAAAGTGATTACTTATGATGAGCAAACTTGAAACTTCTGGTCCCAGGGTGAGAGGCTCTGGTGTTTCTCGGTGGTGAAGGGGGGGGGGGGAGGGGCTCTATTGATAATATAGTGAATCTGTAGTGAAAATGCATTATTTCTTTAATAATCTTCTCTGCACTTGGGCATATCAGAGGCAAAAGTGTAAAAGTTGTACACTGTAATAAGGAAGGGTATTTTTACCAGATTTTTGAACATCTGGACCATTTGGTCAAGTGTTCTGGTCCTAGCCAGGGCTCAATTAATTTGCATTCTACTGAGAGGAGTTATTCCCCTTTGTCGTTTACTTTTGATAATTAATCACTGTAAACAATGGTAAATAATGTACTTGAAAAATCAATAGAATAAGAGAATTATGCAAGAATTTTTATTGTATAATGCAAAAAGTATTTTCATAGTTTTAATGATCATGTGGACTTGTAAGTAATAGATAAATAAAAATGAGACAAAAATAACTTGTCTTATTAAATGTTCATCAAAGACCAAGAGAGGCCAATGTAAGAGATTACAACTGTCAACAAGGAATTAAAATAGTACAAAAGCACTGATAGTTTGTTAATATACTGTATGGTGATAGTGATAAATGGGGAACAGATTAGAACCTAATTTATGAACTGTTAATGAACAATAGACTAATTATTTTGTTGATCCTGATCACCCTATTTTTCTTGCTTTTGGGCAACAAAGCTTCACCTTTCATTTCATTTTAATACTCTATGGATCCTCTAAATTGTTGTATTGTACTCAGGTGACCGTTTAGGCCCTTGGGCCTCTTGTTATTGAAAAAGCAGCTGTCAATGATATCAAAAAGCCTGGACTTTAATTTATCGTGGGGAATGGTTGTGTACAAAGTTGAAAAGTCATAAGTTTTTAGGCTGTTGATTTTGGTAAAATCTTGTGATTTCAAATTTTCCAAAAGTTCCTTGGAATTTTTAAGTATCCACATCTGATTTACACCACGTCTTGAATATATTGTTGCACAGTACTCTTGAAGTTTCTCCACCACTGTTAATATCTTAGTGAGGAGTAAAGA